ATCTTTTTGAGTGGGATAAAATCTCCCAACTTTATTTTTAGAAAAGCTTCCTCCTTTTCTATGAAATCTTTTAGCACTTGACTCTTTGGCATATCTTTGCTTGAAGAAATTTTGTTGCTTTGCCGTATAATTAAATTGTTTCGGCCTTTCAACATTCATCTTTGCATTTGTTTGATAGCCAAGTCCTTGTCTCATTGTGTTATTCTGACTTTTAACAAATTTTACCACTTGAACTTTATTATTTAAAGTAGTAGTAGAATTAGTCAGATTTTGAGGGGTTTGAGAACATGTGGAGTCATAACCGATTCTGGTTCTATCTCCTGATAGCTTTTGCAAGCTCACCATTTTATCTATAATTTTAGACGAATTAGTGAACGTAGCAATAGTAGCTCTAAGATTATGTTCTCTAACCTCTCTTGCTTTACACTCTTCTTGAAGATGAATATTTTCATTCTTCAATTTACTCACTTCAAGTAAAGCATCTTGCAATTTTTTATTCATTTCTTCTTTTTCAAGAATTAGAATATTATTGAGCTCCTTGAGTTGAGGATGAGTGAGCATAATCTCTTGGCATTCTCGCATTAGATTATCAATAGATTCACGAGAAAAAGAAGAATTAACAGAATTGAAAGAATTAGATGTTACCTCTTCTTCCTCTGCTTCAAGAGCCATAAGACAATCTTCACTTGTACTCAACTCAATTGACTTGCATATTAGCGTCGTATCATCATCCCAACATGAACTTTCATCGCTTGATGATGAATCCTCCGAATCATCATTTTCGTTTGGTTCGTTGCTGAGGAGAGCTTTTCTTTTGTCGCGCTTGAACCTTTTGCTTTCGGATTTGTTCGCCGTAGTTTCAACATTTTTGCCTTGATACTTGCTAACGATCGGATACGGACAATTTATTTTAAAGTGTCCGGGTTTGCGGCAATTGTAGCATAAATCCTTGTTTTCTTCGACTTTTTCTTCTTGTGTTATGCGAGAGATGAATTTTCCACGAGCAGAATTTTTGTTGTCTCCTTTTTCGCATAAACCTTTTAAATCTTTTCACAAAAAGAGCAAATTGTTCGTCATTCATAAAATCAACATTATTTTCTACTGACCTGGAGGTTGACGGTTGTTCGGCCATTAGAGCAGAATTTCGAGCTTCATGTACATCATCATCTTTGGCCTTCATTTCGAACTCATATGCTTTTAGATCACTAAACAATTTGTCTGTTGATAACATTCTTAGATCTCGGTGATCGCGCATAGCCGTAACCTTCATATCCCATGCAGATGGTAAGCCTCGTAGGATTTTGAGATTAATTTCTTTTTGGCTAATATTTTTGCCAAGATCACTAATCTCTCCAAGAACTTTGATCATTCGAGCTTCCATATCTGCAATACTTTCATTTGAGAGCATTTTGAAATCTTCAAACTTCTTCATGGAGATTGTGAGCTTATTGTCTTTTTCTTGTTCATCTCCTTCGCCAATCTTGATGAGAGTTTCCCATATTTCTTTGGCAGTGGCACACTTTTAGATCTTCAGAAATATTGTATCGTCTACGGCTTTGAATAGAATATCCTTGGCAATATTGTCAAGATTATTCCGCGTTCTATCGTCCGATGTCCATTCCGGTTTTGGCTTTTGTACGTACTGTGGAGCATCCGGGGATATAACAAATGCCGTATTGATTTTTAATATTTCTATAGGGCCAATGGAAATAACTTCCCACATTTCATCGTGTAAGGCCGATAAGTGTACCTGCATACGAACTTTCCAATCATCAAATTTATCAAGTGAGAATAATAGATTTTGAGCTAAATCTTTCTTCATCATCATCACGAGAGATATGAAAGATTGATCCAATTCACACACTTTGTAGAATGGATCTGTCTAGCTGTCAGAAACGGTTGACCCAGTTAGGCACGTGCTTAGATAGCAAATTGGCCTAAATAGACAGCCTGCTCCGATACCAATTGTTGGTCCCAAAAGAGGAAAGGTGAAAGTCTAGATGGGGGGGGGGGGGGGGTGAATACACTTTCAAACTTTTTTCGCACAGCACAACAATTACTAAGCCAGAGATAAACCAAAACTCTTAACTGGATTGTTAGAGTATGGTGCACAGCGGAAATAAATAAACATAAAGTGTGTGTGAGATTGTGTGAGCAGTATATCTCGTGTAGAGCGAATATGTAAAGAGCAGTAAGTAAAAAAAAAACAGTAAAGAACACAAGACAGTTATAGTGGTTCGCGAGGTGGTGTAATCCTCCTACTCCACTTGCTCTTATCTCTAAGAGCAATTCACTATATCTACCACTCCTTGGTTCCAAGATACAATGAATTTCCGTGATCTAGTGCTTTGATCACAAAACCCGCACTAATCACGCCCAGTGACACCACACTGCTGCTTCGGGTTTCACGTCGTCGCGCTACTATCCCAGGATTTCACGACTCCGCGTTACTTTCCCCCCGTCTTCCACACTCCGGTAGAAATGTATCCTGTGATCTAGTGTTTTGATCACAAAGCCCGCACTAATCACGCCCAGTGCCTCCGACACTGCTGCTTCGGATCTCACAGCTCCTTGTGACAATCCAGGATTTCACAGCTCCGTGCTACTTTCCTCCCTTCTCTTGTTTTGCTCCAAAACAAGTGTTGTCTTGCTTCCAACTTCTGAGACTCTGTAGATGATCTTCAATGATGCGCATGTCTCTTTGATGAAGATAAACACTCTGGAATGATTTCTCTTGATAGCTCTGAGTGTTTTCTCTCTTTGAATATATCAAGTAAAGCACTTGATATTTTTGCTCTGCTTTGCTCTATTTAAGAACTCTCAGAATATTTCTCTTTTGAAGCTCTCTGAGTTCTTTTTCTTTTCTCACTTCTCACTTGAAGATTTTTGGTATGCTCTGTACCAAAATGAGATTTTTTCTCTATGCTCTTTCAAGATGAATTGCTCTATTCGTTCCCCTTGATGGGTTCGAATTTTCTCAACTGCTCTATGCTCTTCTCAAGTTCGTTCACATCTCTACTTCTCTTCAGGTCTTCATATCTTCATCATTTTATAGTTGGTAATGAGAATCTGTCCGTTAGAAAGAGACGCTCTCATTTTTGAAATCTTGTATCTTTTTGTTATAGATCTTATCTTATCTTTTGCAAAGATGTCAGAAAGGATAAGCTAGCCGTTTGATGGATCTTCATCTCCATGTAAATGAGCTCGCAAACTTCATCTGATATTCCTCTAGTTTAACGTTGAGTGGGAATATCTGGGTCTCTATTTTGGTGTAGAATGGCTTCTCTGATCAGCTCTGAAGTGGTCTTTGTATCTTTGGAATTTAAAAATATTCATTAATTTAATCCCATACTAGTTAAACTAGTATTATTCCTTGTGAGAATATTTTCACTGTAAGTTCATCTTCATCTTCTTCATTCTCACGTCTGGGTGTTCTCAGACTTCAAATTGGCTTTGAACTTCCACCCAATTTGAATTTCTCCTTTGTAATTGACACCCAATTTCAATTGGCTTGTGATTGGCACCCAATTTGAATTTCTCCTTTGTAATTAGCTCCCAATTGACTTTGACTTGTAATTGGCTCCCAATCTACTCCTGGTGCTTTCAATTGCTTCTCAATTTCAATTGTTGACTTTGACTTCGAAATTGGCTCCCAGACTTCTCCTGGCAATTTGATCTCCATGTCTTCTTTGCATCCCATACTACAACCTCAATTGGCTCCCAATTTCAATTCCTCAATTGGCTCCCAATTTCAATTCTACATTGGCTCCCTTGCATCCCATACTACGTCTTTTTTGAATCGGTCCCCAATTCTACATTGGCTCCCTTGCATCTCATACTACGTCTTTTTTGAATCGGTCCCCAACTTTGAAATTGCATCCCATACTACAACCTGAAATTGCATCCCATACTACAACCTCAATTGGCTCCCAATTTCAATTCTACATTGGCTCCCTTGCATCCCATACTACGTCCCTCAATTGGCTCCCAATTTCAATTCTACATTGGCTCAATTGGCTCCCAATTTCAATTCTACATTGGCTCCCTTGGCTCCCAATTTCAATTCTACATTGGCTCCCTTTCAATTGATTTCAATTTCTCTGAAACTAGCTTCCTTTGAATTGGCTCCCAATTTGAATTGGCGCCAAGTGAAATTGCTTACCAATTTCCACTTCTAATTGGCGCCCAAAGCTTAAACTAGCGCCCAACTCCATCAGATTAATTTAATTTGGCTTCTCAAATTTTACCTTGTAAAATTATTGATGGTGAGTTTCAAACCTAAGCCATTTCGCATAATATATCAAGCATCATCCACTTCGTCCGTACAACTATTGATTAAATCTCCAATCTTCTTTGATGTATTCCTTTCTTTTCTTAGATGCTTGATCTCCAAGTCAATTTCATGCATTCTTCCAATATTAATTTTTCTTCACGAAAATTCTTCTGGGATATCTTCTTTGAGTAGTAGCATTGACGTGAATATTGTATCATTCATCTTCTTCTTCAATTTGTCATTTTCTCCAGACAAATTATTGATTTTAGGCTTTATATCTTCTTCTTCTATTTTCATCCATCTTCCTCTGTTTTTCTCTTTTCAAATTTAAATAAATTCCCTATCATGGTCTAAGACTCTACTAGAACTAACAAATAAAATTGGGGGATCTACAAATACATTTTTGGCATATCAAAACCATTACACTTTATTCCTAACAGTTTTTTAAGTTATTAATGCTATCTTGATCTTGTTTAGTTATCTTTTGAGGTTAAGTGTTGTGGTTTAGATTTAAGAAAAGTAGGGTGTTAATGTGTACCTAAAAAATTTGGTGGTTTGGGTTTAAGGACCTTCGTGCTTTTAACTTGGCTATGTTGGGTAAACAAGCCTGGAGGTTCCTCACTAAGCCCCATTATTTGGTTGCTAGGATTTATAAGGCTAGATATTTTCCTAGTTCCTCTTTTATCGATGCCTTTGTGGGCAATTGTCCAAGTTATTGTTGGCGTAGTATTATGGTTGCTCATGAGATGGTTTGTGGTGGTGTGAGACGCAAGATCGGGGATGGTAAATCTACTTTAATTTGGGGTCACCCATGGTTACCTGATGAGCCGAGCCCATTGGTGCAAACCGCCATGCCCCCTACGTTGCATGCTGCTTTGGTGTCAGGTTTGATCGACCACAGCACAACTTCTTAGGACCCCGAAATTTTGACCGACTTGTTTAATTCCAATGATGTGGCTCGTATCTCTAGGATCCCTATTAGCCCGGATTATGAAGACTCATGGTTCGGGTTGTTATTCTGTGAAGAGTTACTATAGACACATTGTTGATGATTATGTAAACCATCCTGGGGACTTTGACAAATGGATCACCCTTTGGAAACTAAAGGTTCCTCCCAAGTGGATGACTTTTTTATGGAGGGCTCTAAATGATATTCTCCCCACAACCACCAACTTGCTTTTAAAGAGGGTAGAAGTGAGCCCATCATGCCCTCTATGTGATCGTACTCATGAGAATACAATGTACTCCCTTGTTTTGTGTGAATTTTCTCAACTTGTGTGGAATATTTCTTCATTAACTATATTTTCTATTACTGGCAACACATTTTCTTTATGGTTTAAACATGCATTGGACGTGTGTAGCGAAGATAACCTGGCATTGATTATGGCAGTGCTGTACCACCTCTGGAATGCCCAGAATTCCGCTATCTGGAAGGGTTGTGTACCGCTGCCAAGGAGGGTTCTCGAGAATGCGACGTCATCATTGCATGCATGGCGACAAGTCCATTCTCCACTCTCACTAGCTGCTCCAACCATCACCGTTCCTGTTCTATCATCGCCGAAGCTGCCCAGATGTCTTTTCGATGCCAATTATCACCACTCGATGGGGAAAGCAGCGTACGGGGTAGTGTTATTCCCATCCAATTCGGTTTTCGTAGCGGCTTGCGACGAACCCTTACCAGTGTGCTCCTCTACTCTCATGGCGGAGTCTATGGCATGCAAGGAGGCGATGTCGTGGTTGAAAGATCAAGGAGTGTTAACCGTGGATCTCAACACTAATTGTTCGGAGCTTCGACGTATTTTATCTTCACAGGTGCCCATTTTATCGTATGTGTGTTTGATTATAGATCACTGTAGGACTGCTTTGTCCACTTTTACCAATTGCACTTTATGTTTAGTACCTAGATCAGCTAATATTATAGCTCACACTTTAGCATATGCAACCGTTTCTCAGGCTAATTCATTGTGTGACACCCCGTAAATCTAACTCCTAATTGTGATTAATTGAGGAATTGATCTTATCTTCCTTTGATAATTTCTTTCTAAAAATCCTGAAATTTGATAGTCGAGGGACTAGAATTTGACTAGTCTCCTTAGTCAACCAAGTGTACCTTTTGCCTTATGTTTTGTACCTCAACAATTTTGTCTTTCTAACCTTAGTAAGGGTAAAGTTAACCTTTCACACATGTTTTAATGTTCAAGCTTTCCCTAGCAAGACATTTCATTCATTTCCCATGCTAGCCAAATCTTAAAACCTCCACCTTCTCTCTACAAGAAATCTTAGCTTTCTCTCCAAGCTAGAAGAAGGGTTCTCTATCTTTGCAAGATTCCACCTAAAGTTTCCACCTTTCTATCTCTGTAGCATAGGAAAGCGTAAGATCTCTAGTTGTTTAGTGTTTTTAGCTAGCTTTAAGGTATTTTTATCTTATTTTGGTGTTTTCCTTGTGGTTTGGTTTGGTGAGAAGTCCTTGGTGAGGAAGAGCTTCAAGGTGAGGCTTAGGAGGGTAAGAGGAAAGTGGTTTTAGTCTACAAAGGTAACCCATGCTCTACAAAACCTATTTTATGCTTGCTATTGGTATTTCTTGGCTTCTATTTGGTGATTCTTGATGTTGTGAGTGATTTGATGCATGATCTTGTGATAATGCATGTTTAGAGCTTGTATTTAGGGTTCTTGAATGCTTTTCTTTGAGCTATTCTTGGGTTCAAGTCATATCTTTGTTGTGTGTGAGGTTTTGGGTGTTTTGGACTTGAACTTGGCTTTGTTGATGATTTTCCCGGAAGGGAATTATTGGAGTACAGGGTGTACCCCGCAGGCGGAACGGCGGGCAGTGGCCTACCCGCCACCCCACCCGCGGGGAACAAGGTGGCTTATGGAGTGTACCCCGCGGGCAGGCCCATGGGTGGGGGCCTACCCGTGGCCCCACCCGCGGGGAACATATGTGGAGATTGCGGGGAATTGCTCCCCGTAACCCTTTTCCTTTTGGTATGTGATGTTTTGACCTCCCGTTGTTAGATTATTGAGCTTTTGTGATTCTTCTTGATGTTTCGTATGTCTAGAACGATGTGTTAGGGATCCATGTTAGGATTTGGCGTCTTGAATCGTGCTAAGGGTCCAACCTTGTGATTCATTGGGTTAATATGAGTCTTGAAGGTTCGTTGGAACTATTTTGATTTACCTGTTTGATGAGCATGCTAGTTTGATGTTGTTATGCTAATATGTATGGTTTGTTCCTTCTTGTGGAGGATTAGCAACTCGTGTTGCCAATCATTTGGTGTTGGATTGTAGTCCATTGATGTTGAGTATTGCTTCATGTCTTTATTGAAATCTCTTGGTTGATTCTTATGATGTTGTCTTGTACAAATCGTTGTACCCTTTGTTGATACTTGATTGGGCTATTGATGAGCCTCAATCCTCTTGATGATGACAATGTGTGAATATGAATGAGATTGGTGATTTTGTTACTAGAGTTTTGCTCATGAGATCGGTGGTATGTTACTATGAATTTAATGGTACCCTCGTGTACTTGAGATCGGTGGTATACTGATTGGTGGTGTAGATTGGTGGGTGACGACGGTCCCAGACCGGAAAAAGGTTGGACTCAGAAGTACAGGGTGGCAATCGGAGGTACAGGTTGGAACTGTGATAAGGCCTGGGGTAGCCATATGGGTGGTACTAAGGCATAAGGTTGGAACGTGAACTTGTCATTATGTGATGATTGTATTTCCTTGCTTATGTGCATGTCTATGATGAACTCTACCTTGTGAATGGTAGGTTGCATCTAGAGTTGTGGGATGTCGCTTGTGTTTGTGGTCTCTACTGATTTGATTGGAGTTGTTGGTCTTGTACCTTGTTGAGAGTGTGTTATATTGATTGTTGTCTCGTCTCTTAGTTTTCAAATGCTATATACTGTATTCCTCAGTTCCAAATGGTTTTGATCATATCTATGTATATATATTGATACTTAACGTGTATTGGTGGGTTACCAGCTTTATTCGCTGACCGGGTGTTATCCCTTGTCTTTACAGGTTTTGATTAGATCGGAGAGCGCGCTAGATGTGGACTCTAGTTAGCGTAGCTTTGCGTCCCTCTGTTTAGATTTGGGCCTGTGAGTCTTAGATAGTTGCGGCCTGTGTACCTTAGGCATTTGTTTGTTATGATGGATTTTGGTAGACTTAGCCTGTGCACCCGTAGTTTTATGGGTGTGGCATAACACCTTTCCCGGATTATATTAGCTTCCGCTTTTCTGATGTTTGATGTTTATACTGGTAATCTTTGAATTTAAGTTTTAGAAAGGATTGCTGATGCGAGTGATAAAATTGAATGTAACTAAGACAAGTTATAAAATTAGGGAAAATGACATATTTGGTCATGAGTTATACCCATATTGATGATTCAGTCACTAACTTATAATCGTATCCACATTTTATACCCCAAAGTTAGGTTTTCATCTCAACCTGATGGAAAACCCAAATATCCTCTATTATTAGAGGGGTAAAATAAGAAATTCACATCTTATTCTCCTTATTATATTAAAACAACTTTTGCAACATTATTTTTCACTTCACAAGCTTCTATTTCAAGGTTCTGCAACTTCAAAATCATTTCAATAATTAACACTCATATGACTTGTTAGGAACTTGTGTCTCATATAAGGAACCCGAGACTCAATACAAACAAGGGAACATTTGATCACCACCGTATTCAGGTGTGTGAAACACACTGTCCTAAAAGTTTTTAATTTCCCCTACTAAGCAACAAGGTTAATTAATTCATAACTTTTGAGATACAAGATGTCAAAATTTTCAGGTTACTTTATGAAGAATTCACTAAGGGATTAACTTAAGATTTTTAATATGTAACAATTCTTTGCTAAACTCTGGAGTAGCTTAGTTAAAAATCATATATCCTGTCAACATATGAAAATCCTATATATATATATATATATATATATATATATATATATATATATATGAACATATGAGATCACCTTTTTAAATGAGATTGTGAGATCAATTTTTAAATTTTAACCATTCAATTTTTTATTTCAATGGTTCTGATTGATTTGGATGATGGGGCGTGTTTTTTCATATTGTTAGTCATCATTAGTTTTTGGAAATGCCAGATCCTCATCATTAGTTTTTGGAAATGCCAGATCCTCTCCATCCTTCTTACCATGTTCCTCTTTTTTTTTTTTTTTTCATCTGTGAAGACGCTTGCACAAGAATAAGAAAGAAACAACACGGGTTCATGAGGTTTGTTCTAGGGTTTTATTCGAATCGCTTCTTGTTCTCGCTTGGTGGGTGCAAGTTTGTAGCGGAGATACTATGCGAGATTCCAGTCTCCAACGATCGAAGCGCAGGGTGCTGTGTACACGCGTCGAGGAGGAAGGTAATAGGTTTTTATTTATTTATTTGAGTTAATACCATCTGAAGTCCTCCGAGTATAGTGATTTTGTCATGTTTACTCCTAAACTTTCAAATTGACCATCTGTGCTCCTTCGACTTTCAAATTTAACCATTCATGATCCAAGTTAACAACTCATGACCTTCAACTATTAAATTTTAACCAACCATGATCCTTTTAAGAGGACCACAACTGGTTAAATTTCAAAACTTGAAGGACCATGGGTGGTTAACTTGGACCACAAATAGTTAAATTTGAAATTCAAATGACCAGATGGTCAATTTGAAAGTTTAGGACTAAACGTGGCAAAACCACTATACTCAGAAGACCTCAGATGGAATTAACTCTATTTTTTTTATTGAAGTTGTGGGGTGTCAGGGTTTTGGGTATTTTCTTTGTGGGTTTTTCTGATTCTATGGGTTGTGGTCGCGGATGGGTACTCGGATCCGGCGGAAATCTTGGCGGGTTGGGGTGGTGGAGGGTGAAGGCGGTGAACAGAATATTTAAGACTCGCTATACCTTTTCTTCTTTCTCTTCCCTTTTCTTCTTGCATTTTATCTATCATTTTCTGGAGAACCATTGGAATGAACTTTGTTTTGGCACTGTTAGGGAGTCCACAAGTTGATAGGGATGATGCCGATGATCTGGATGATGAGTTTAATCATGCATGCCCAGGGGAATAGCAAGGCTAGACGCCAGTGGCAGGGAGAAGATGTGGATCTCTCTTATTCTTCTAGGCATGAGTCTCAGCAGCCAATACCTCTTCTCATGAATTGTCAGCCTGTAAGTGAGGATCAAACTTACAGCATCAAGATATCAACTCTTTGTTAATGTTTTAAATTACTGTTTCTTTTATCCTGACCTGTGATTTCAATGACAAATGACAGATAAAAAATCTGTTCTTAGAGATGCTTTTTCCCCTCATTCTACCTCTTTGAAACATTCTAATAACTATTTTTCTTAAATATGTGATTATTTAGTCTTTGATCATTTGTCTTCAATGTGGCCAATAGATAGAAGATATACTATTATCCATTATTTGCTTATTTCATCAGTCAAATTATGGTTGTATTAGAAAAATAAATATTTGTTTTACCATATTTTGTTGTGTATTATATTTTCTTTCTGTATCCTATAATTGGAATGTGCATTAATGTTAACAACTGTGTGCGTTCTAGCTGTCAATGACTTTGTGGGTGCCTGTTGACTATGGGTAATCTGTGCATTTCTGTGTATATGTTTATGCACATTTGTCTTTGTACGTGTGCATATTTGGGGCGATGTGTGTGCATTGGTGGTAGTCCCAATATATGTGTGCATTATATTGCTGGTATTTTCAGTTATTATTCAACTGTGTTTGCATGGTATTGGACACTTCATGGAGATACACATGGCTGTGTAAGCGTGTGTGCAAATTTTGGGGTGTGGTGTGTGCATTGGTGATAATTCCAATATATGTGCATTATATTGTTGATATTTTCATTTATTATTGAATTGCGTTTACATAGTAATGGACACTTCATGGAGATACCGATGGATGTGTAAACGTGTGTGCGTATTTTCGGTTGAGTTATGGTCTCCTATGGGCTCTTGGGAGGTGGTGGATGGGTGGGTGCAACAGTGTGCATCAATATGCAATTTAGTGCTTAACTAAGGTTTATGCATATTTGGTCTGCAGTGTGTGCATTGGTGTTAATCCCATATATATGTACGTTATAATATTTATATTTTCAATTGTATTGAACAGTGTGTGTATAGTTTTTGCATTTCATTCCTTATGTATATACGTGCAGGGGACAAGTCACTACCTCATCATTCTAGCGAGGCACTTTGGGGGATGATGACTTTGTCTCTCCTCTACGAGCGCTATTACGACACATGCAGGCTGAACCGCGGTGGTAAGTGCCGAATTATGGGTTGACTAAGGATGAGGTCGCTATGTTTCCTACCATGAAGACTCGTTCTGCAGCTATGAAGTTGGTTGTTCCAATGAATCGATTTAATGCATGTTAGAGGACGGCTGTTGGGGAGATGAGCCTTGGGCCTTGGGTCGTAAGGACCATTGTTTAGTTGGGTTATACGTAGTTCTTTAAGTTATGAAATTAGCTTACAACTTTGTTTTTGTTGAGTGATATTCAATTTACTGAACTGTACTAGTTTAAAATTGTTCCCACCTATTCTTCATGTGTTAATGGATTATTGTGTTGTTTAATTTAATGTTTGAGAATAGTAAAACATGGTCAACAAGTTTATCTCCTAAAGAAATGCGTAATGCACACAGTATTGTCCATGCGTGCACAAACTATATTTGTACACGCACAAACTAACCCACAAGAATACACACACTTATGCATTCTTCTACACTCGTAGCTTTCCTATGTTGTTATTTTGATATTATACTTAAACAACCTAAATGCACAAGCTGTATCATCCTACGCACACACTATTCTAGAGTCCAACCTCATGTACACGCTAATGCATACATTTATACTGTCGCACATAACCTTCTTGCACACACCCAATTACGTGTTACCACGATATGCATACACCTATATTCAGACATGCACGTGCGTGCATATTTGTTTCCACGAAAGTACACACTTTGCAAATATTCTTCATCATCTCTCACTATGTCATGGTACACAAATGACCAAAAATTCTACAGTAAATTCTTACTCGGTTACCAACCTAACACAACAGTCGTACACACGTCTGTGCAGTCGTTAATTGGGCACGATGCAAACGTTGTGCGGTACCTTTTATAGGGTGGTGTGTGCATGTGTCACAGCACCAAGCCTGTGCATTCCTACTGTGGGTACGTTGCACACTCTGTAACTAACCATTACAATGCAGGCGTGTGCATCTCTACTGCTATCAATAGGCACCCACCGTTACAATGTAGGCATTGCTGGATACGTATGCAAAGAAATTGGGAATTAAAAATTATAGGATGCATTCCTACCATTATTAGAACTTCAATAAATATAGACAATATATTCCTTCAATTAAAAATCATTAAATGAACATACATTAGTTTACTATTTCGCCCTGGCATTCAATTCTATTTAATTACAAATTGGATTCTTGATTAATCATGAACATTAATTTTTTTAGATTGATACACAATATTTGATCTCACAATCTCACCTACATAGGTGATCTCATAGGGACCCTCCTGTATATATATACGTAGTACATATACATACATACATATATATATATATATATATATATATATATATATATATATATATATATATATATATATTGCGAATCAAATAAAATAGCCTCAACAGGTAAAAAATGCCGACATATTCTAGTCGTAGATGCAATCCAAATCAACAGCCCAAATTGAATTTTAATTTAAAAACGCGCGGTGACATATTTGTAATTTTGAGTAAATAAGTCAGCTTGTGTATTGTTTCCGAGTGCACATTTGTCCTTCTTCGAGTGCACATTTTCCCTTATTCAAGTACATACTTTTTCTTCATCGAGTGCATCACTTTTATTTCAGTACTTAGTTTCTATTTTGGTGCACATCTTTGTGACTTTGAGTGCAAATCTTTTGGCCTTCAAGTGCACGTTTTGTAGCCTTCAAGTGCATGTTTTCCTTTCTAAGAGTGTATAATTAATTTTCCTTTGAATTATCTCTTTCAGTGTCTTTTTTTTCTCTCACTTGCCTTCTAGTGATCCTCTTTATGCTTTCAAGTGCTCAATTTAATGCCTAAAAGTGTATGTGCCTTACTATTGTGTAAAAAAAAATTTTAAAAAAAAAACTTAGGGGCCGTTTACTAACTTGCAGAAATTTCCAGAAACCGGAAAATAGAAAACAGAAAACATGTGTACGAACACAGTTTTCCATTTTGAAAACTGAAAACAATTTCTGGAAAATCGGAACACACTTAAAAACTGTTTTCGAAATGGAAAACGTAATCATCTATCATCTATTTAGTTATATGTCCTATAAGTCTATAACCACATTACTATGATTATATTCATTATCATCTTATTTTACTTATCTGTTTTTTTTATAAGTCTATAACCACATTACTATGATTACATTCATTATCATCTTATTTTACTTATCTTTTTTTTTTTTTTTTTTTACTTATCTTTCTTTTTTTATAAGTCTATAACCACATTACTATGATTACATTCATTATCATCTTATTTTACTTATCTTGAACTCACGATCTTCCAAATGGAAGTCCAACCCGGGTACCATTAGACCACATAGTCTTAGTTCTATCTTTTCTACTTACTTTACTTATTTAAATTAATTATTTGCTTACACTTTAAAGTTAGACATTATTTACATTATCAAAATTAAGAATTAAACTCTATATAATGTTTTAGATTTTGATTGAACTCAATAGATTATTAGTTCGAATATTTTTAATTATGTTACATCATAATACAAGTTCGGCCCAGATATCGGATATTGAAATCTCACATATATTAGAATTCAAAGTAAAAGTTATATATTCATATACATGTCATTCAAATGAATATATCCAAAACAAAAAAAAAATTAAATATTAGCTCAAAAAATATTAATATTATCTAAACTAAATTTTAGGTAAAATTTGAAAAATTAGAAAACAGAGAACAGTTTTTTGTTAGTACACAAGTTTTCTAAACAGAAAAATTAGAAAACATAAACGAAGTATTTGTTAATTGCAGATCTATTTGCCGTCATGTAGTATCTATTCATATACTTTCACAACCTTCCAAATGGAAGTCCAACCCGGGTACCATTAGACCACTGACCACATGGTACACACACACACACACACACACACATATATGAACCTGGGGGTCCGGATTATACAACTCGTATATATGTTTGAATATAAGAAATAAATAATAAAACGATAAATATTATATTAATTGAGCACAAAACGCTATTACAGAGGTTCGGGACGTGTAATAACAAGACAAATGTTGTAGGAAAAGTATGAGATGCCTAATTAGGACACCGGGGGGTGTTTATATACCCCCTGGCTGCTACGGGCCCTGGGCCCGCGGGAGGAGCCGCGGCCCGCGCCGCAGGACTTGCTCCGCGCGAGGACCCGGCCCTTAGCCGAGCCCGGGAGGTCGGCCCATGCCGACCCCCATTGGGCCGACCCGGGGTGGTTGGTCGACCCCGGGGTTGTCCGCCCTGTATCGCAAGGTCCGACCCGGTCTAAATCATCTGGCTCCGCTCCGGCTCCGTGATTATTCCATCATCAGTCCCCCACTCTCGGGGCTGCGAGGAGTCGTCAGCGCGAGAGAGTAAAATGCACTTAATAATTACGGGGTCCTGAATTATGTTTCCAAAAAATTCAACATTTCTTCCTGTAAAATTCTGGACGCGGTAGAATTCACAACCGATCTGAAATTCAAGCTTGTATCCATCCTTATCAGCTTTAAGAGTCCTCATCCTACTACAACCCTTCCACTTCCCCTTTAAATACCCCCTCCATCTTCCCAAAGCCCCTCCCATTCCCAACACCACACCTTTCCCCCTTTCCTCAAAATTTTCCCCCCTCTTCCCAAAAAATGTGCTCTCTTTCCCCCCCCCCCCCCCCCCCCCCCCGCCCCTTTTCCCCCTCCCTCCCCTATATAAAGTAGCCCTCTCTTCACCCCCCCCCCCCACACACACACAAAAGCTCCCCAAATCTGAAAATTTCTCTCCCCCCCCCCCCCAAAAAAAAAAAATTCCGGCCACACTGCTGCCGCCGACCGCCTCCGCCATCTAGTCGACCCCGACCCCTGCCGAGGCCGACCCACCCCTGCCGAGGCCGAACTGTCGCCGGCCGACCCCCGCCCGGCCGAGGCCGACCACTCTCCGCCGTGTCCTCCCTCTGTGCCCACTTCGTTCATCCCCTCCTTGCTTGAGTCGGGTGAGTTTTGTGCAAACCCTCTTTTAGAGTTCCTTAGCTAGCTTTATGAGCATAGTGCCTCTTGTCGAGGACACGCATCCGGTTGACCTTCCCGTGATTATTAGTTATTGGACCGTCTTAGATTCCATTGACTACACGGACCTCCCGCCTAGTGATGACGAGTCCATTGACTTAGACAGGTTTCCTTCCCCTTACATTGAGCACTATAACATTGAGTACCCATATATAAATCCATTAGCCACGCATCCCCCCTTCCTGTTGACTCCTACGCCACTCCCGGATCCCTTCCCCGTGAATCAATACACTGTACTTGACTCCGCCATCCTTCGGGGACTGGGGTCCTCCTTGAGTCCTCACGATATCGCCGTGGCGAAAGCCTTGGTCGGCCCGTCGGTTGTGGTCCATGTCCCGCCTCCCGGACCCAATTGTTTTTGGGTCCATATTACATCCCTCCTCATGGGCTTGGCTTTCTCGCTTCACCCCTTCATGGTTGAGCTCCTGAACTTTCATCGTGTGTCCGTGGGTCAGCTAGTCCCTAAATCCCACCGGGCGGTGGCGGCCTTCATTCTTCGATGTGTCGAGGTGGATATCCGCCCAAACCTTGCCCTTTTCCACTCTTTTTTCACCGCAGCCAATTCCTCATCTAAGGAGAGCAAGGGCTAAATGGCGTTTTCGGCTCGACCGGGGACGCGGATTATGGGGCACGTACAGGACTTCAACAAGGGTTGGAAGCCCCGGTTCGTCTTCGTCTCTACGGGCAAGGTGCTCCCTTTTGAGGTGCCTTGGGGTGGGTACTTCCGTAAGTGCCGCTGCCCGAAGTCCACCCCAGAGCTTGAGGCCTTGGCTCGGGAGTTTTTGGGTGACACGGCTGACATGTTGGACTCCCAGACCCTTGTTGATCACGAGTCCTTGATCAGGGCGGGCTTTTCTCGCGACCCCCTTCCGCCGCCTCCTCGTGGTGCTGCTCCCCCTCCTCTAGACTCCGCGGGGGAGACCGAGGAGGAGTCTGCGAGCGATGATTCAGGAGATGACGACGTTATTGAGTTGTTAGCCGGACATTCGACGCCTCCTCCTACCAGTTCTGGTTTGTCACCTCGCCGATGTGTCTGCGTGTCTGTTTGTTTATGCGTTTTAATTAGAAGTGCTCACTGGCTTGTCTTGGTGTAGGTATGGCTCCCCGTCGCGCCGCCATTACGAACCTTATTGAGAGCTTGCAGAACCGTGGAGGCGAGGACCCGAAGCGCCGCAAGACTAGCAAGACTAGCCATGCTACCTCGGGCGTC